TCCCGGACGACATCCCGGACATGGATGACCTCCTGGCATGGGTCAACAATGGTGAGTCTGGGGGCTGCAGAGCTGGCGGGGGGTGTCTGCATTGGGTGGCTGTGGGAATGCTGTGATCATCATTCTGGGGGATGTTCTTGCTTTTTCAGAAGTGACGAGTCCTCTGGAGGTCCCCCAGCAGAACCAGGACCTGGTTGATGTCCAAGCAGAGGGGACCGATTGCACTGAGACTGTGGAAAACGGTCACAGTGAGCTGCTGCCAGAACTGAACGTCCAGGAAAGGGCAGAGCTGCTGCGGTGGATCGATGCCACGCGGCCACCGAGCCCAGCTGTCCCCAGCAGCCTCGACAGCGCTCCTTTCATCGCAGCGCTCCCTGACTTTCCCTGGCCCGGCACAGGGCTCAGCAGAGAGGCAGAGGCTGATGCCAGGCCCATCAGCGACCTGTTCTGGAGGCAGCCAGCATGCTGTGGACAGCTCTCTGAGTCGCTGCCCTTTGGGCATCTGACAGAAGAGGCGCGGCAGAGGCAGCCCCAGGTGGTTCTCACCCGCCTGGCGCTGCCACCCGGCTGCATCTTTTGCCACGTGCCAGACGACCCCCACGGGGATGGCACCGAGCCGGCCGAGTGCCCAGCGCCCGCCTGCACCACCGGGAAAGGCAAGAGCAGAGGGCACGAGCAGCACACTGGCAGCGTCCCAACCAGAAAGAGGGAGCTGCCCCTGGGCCAGGACGCTCCAGGACAGAAACGCCGGCGCTAGGTGAAGCTGGGTGGGCTCAGCACGAGCGGGAGCATCCGCAGAAACCGGCCCACGTGGTGCAGCAGGAGGCACGGCCATAGCCAACAAAGAAGCCTACCTGTAGCCCTGGGCTCCTCGCCGGCCCCAGTGGCACACAGAGAGCAGCAGCAGTGCTCCAGGGGCACCAGCACCGGCCCAGCCCTACTCCTCCAAACCTGGGCTGTCCACAAATGTCATCTTGGACTAGGATGATGTGGGACTGTGTTAAATTATGTTAAATCCTGTTAGATTCTGTTCAGTTATGATAAATTATTTTACTTTACATTACATTATATCATTAAATGTTTTGCATTCACTTTCCTACGCCTCCACCTGCAGTTGTTCATGCAGCACCAAAGCCCCCCAGGCCCCCTGCAGACACCTGGGGGGCAGGATGGGGCAGCACAAAGGGCCGTGTCCCAGGCCTGCCCTCACCGACCCAATTCCACCCCTCCAAAATCCCCTCTCTTCCTCAGTCAGCACTGCCTGGGAATGTAAGGATGGGGAATGGTTGGGGTGGGATTCTGGGAGAGCTGGGGCGGCTCAGCCTGCATAAGAGGAGGCTCGGTGGATCCCGGGCACCGCCATCA